CTTATTTTCTCCTGTTTCGTTGCTTTTAAAAACTTCAAACAGCCGAATACGGTGGCGGCACCCAACGCGCCACCCGCACCCAGCACGGACCAGTAGACCCTGTGGGTGGCGATGGTGGCGGTAAAGGCGGTGATGGTGGCGGCGCTGGAGCTGGCGGCGACGTTGGAGCTGGCGGCGGCACTGCCATCTCCACCAAGGCAGGCATCGGCTCTGAAACATAACGGCACATATTGCATTACATCTTTGCGTGATATGAACACGGCTCACGACAGAAGGACACGCAACTGAGCTGCGTAGCCCATAGAGCACGACGATGCAGAGCTGGTATAGACAGTTTCTGGATGTCTCAAGTACAAAGAGCTGCGCATTCGATTTATAACACATACCGTTGCTTACCGTCATCGCCGCTGCTGGACAGATGAAGGACCAGCGACGGTGACAGCTGGCGGCGCCGCCGCTGGTCTTCGCGCCTTTTTTGGTGCAAGCCTTTCAGCACCCTCTTTCTTTCAGCGCGGCACGCCCGCCACCTTTGGCACCTCGCAGAGTGCTTTGGTCCTGTTCGACTTTGCACATGCCTGTGGGCAGAATAAAAGCGATATCAAGCTTTGCAGCATAGATGTAAAGAACGCTGTGCGTCACCCTATGTCAGCAAAGGGACCGACACACCCTCTTCCTGCAGAAACAGCAGCACTCATTCTGCACGGGAAGGCGATGTTACATCTTCTGCCTGAGAGGGCTGGGCCATGGGCAGACTAGTATCATCTTCTCGTTCTGTTCTCTTCCTTGGTTTTCTATTAACTTGTTTGGTAGCCCCTTCTCTTTCTTCTTTTATTTCCGAGTCTTCTAAGAACTTCTTTGCGCTTTAGCTGCCTGAGAAGGCAGTGTTACACTAGTGATCTTGACTGCCTGAGGGGGCAGTGTTACACCTCCGACCTTGTCTGCCTAAGGAGGCAGTGTTACACCTGTGACCACGTCTACCTAAGGAGGCAGTGTCACACCTATGGTCCGATAATGCGGCACCGCACCTTCTGTCCGCTGGAAATGCTCATCTCTCGTGTTCGGTGCAGCGCCAAGGCTGGTGCGCATTCGGCGAGTTCGGCGGGGGGGGGGAGGCAACTCAAGGATTAAGGGAAGTGGGCAAAAAGGAAAGAATAGGGAGAGGAGAGAGGAAAAAAGGTGGCGTAGGTGACATGGCAACTCCCAAGCACCAATTGAGATGTGCCCCAGTCCACAAAGTCACCTGCATCACCTTCGTTTTGCTGTCTGAAATCGCTTGTATGACTGGCAGGTACCGGATCCTGTCGCGGCCGGCGATTTCAACTGAACTCCCCGGTATAGGCCACTGACTGAGTTCGAGTCTGTTTCTTGTTCGCGGGTAGGTATGGGGCGGGCTTCGCAGTTGCCGACGGCGGCAGGCATGTGATACTCCGCCGGCAGCAGAGCAACTCGGCCGGGGGGCGAGTCGTGCCGCGACACAATCCCATGCAAGCGAGACGGTGCTGGCGGCCCCGCCCTTCAACAATTGCAACGAACGCTCTTTCCATTGCGGGAGTTGCATACACGGCCACATATCAACCCTGCACACCATTCATCTACAAGATAGGCATTTAGCCATAGCTCCCAACGCAGTTCTAACTGAAGTTGACTTAGTGGTATGGCAGGACTTTGATCCAGACTGGCCTTAGTGACCGGACAGGATCCTTACATTACGTTTAAACTGTTATGTAGACGACATGCTGCCATCATTACCGACATGATCGCAGGGCTTCGCAGCTGGTAAAGTGCACTTACGAGTAACATTATGCATATGAATGAAGCAGTATTAAAGCTTTATTCCTCAAAAAGCACAGAAGAAAATGAAGAGATATATGTGACATTTCGACAGCATACCTTTATCTAAAAGAAAATCGGTGACAACTTAAAAATGACTGCCGATCCTATTCAACTTTTCGAGAGTTTTTTTTTTCGAGGCAAGCCACAGTTTTTACAGATCACTAACATGCAGGGGATCACACAAGAAGCAACTGTCGATCATTTTTTTATGATACAGTGCACATCTAACTGGGAATTAAAATACACGAAAAGTACGTGTGCATGCAAATGAGTTCAATTTAACAGGCAGCACGCATAACACATCATTTACTTCCGCGGGCGACTTCAAGTAAATAAGCATCTCGCATCACACATCACTTTTACATGCAAACGACTTCAATTAAACAGACATCGTGTATCAAGCGTCCCGCCATGCGGTACATGAAAGCGAACTTAAGCCGGGACGCATAACACGTCAAGACACTAGTCACATTCACATCATCGTTTATGATGATTCCTGAACTTAAAGACTGGTCGCCAACTTCTCAACAAAATGGATTCACCATATTTCCTGTCTGCATGATCTCGTGCTTTGAAGATAACTTTGAGCTCGACAAGGGTTAAAGGGTCCATACTTCCCTGGATTTTAGCCTCAGCGTGTTCTCTCAAAAGATGGTCGCCGAAAAGGTTCGTTTTTATTCTCTGTTTCGTTTTGAGCATCTCGCAGGTATTCATTGCAACTCAAACGAAAAGGGCGCATGGACTCCCCGACATAGACTATGTACCTCCCATGTTTACACAGTTTCGCACAGTTTACACTTGGTTTCGTAAACCACATTTCGTCGCGTGCAAACCACCTACAACCCAGGCATGCATATATGACACATATCACACCCCGGGCACCTAGGCTTCGAGATGAGATATTAAACAACAGAGTTATTTAGCTTCTTGTCGTTCTAAGCTGAGCGTACGCGCAGTTTCGCCTTTCTAAAGATATGTTGGATTTTTCAAAGCAAGTGTTCACCGCTGTCACGTAGTGTTAAGCCAATTCATTTACCCAATTCAGCCTTGACAGTGGAGCATACAGAAAAGGGGTCCACATTTGGATACGCCAGTGACGGTAGAACAGAGGAACAATCGCACAACGTTAGAAACGGACCTGTGATCAAGCCCACCAATTCTGGTATAATTCTATACAGCGAATCTGCGCATACAACCTCCGCTTAGCACAACATAATTCGAAACATGCTTCACAGGGCTCTAAACAACTTACCAAGCAGTAAAAAGACACAGGGAACATGAGCAAAACATAGACTTTAATGTTGCACGATGGATATTCTCCACGACCTTAAGGTTAAATGCTAGAAGAGGTCAAAACATTCAGAGCACGTAGGATTACATTTGGTAAGCAGGTTAACAGATGGGCCCCCACAAGAACGTAGGACCATAGGCAAGTCACAGAATTAGTAACGCCCTAGACCAACGTGGAGGGCCATGAGCATATCGCGAGTGTGTCGGTAGGTGAACCGAAACCAACGTTAATGGCCCCCGAGCAACCGAGAATACCCGGGTAGCTAAACATATGGCTCCCCGTCTATAGCCACGAAGCGTTTCTGGAGACTGAAAACAAATACGTAGAAGGCCTCTGATTGCCAAGAGCGCCCCGGCACGCCAGCAGGAACAGCACAGCAACAGTGCAGGGCCCTCCGAGCAAACGCAAAGCAGTCAAGGCTAACGTGGAAAGCTCCTTAACGATCGAAACGACTCTGCAAGTGGGCATATACGTCCCCGGAAACAGCATAGGACCCTGGGCAATGTAATAAGGCTTACAATTTTCCATTGACGTTTTTCGAATTGAATATTTTTTTCTCTGTTCTCTTAGGCCAATCGCTTTCGCTTGCAAATGTCCTTGGTGGCCTGGGAGTTCAGAGAAATTTTGCTGTTTTGTGTTTGAAGAAACTGCATCTGTTCGGCCAGCTATGGGGCCCTTTCGGGGCCCGAGGAGGCCACGGCCCAGTGACCACTCTCTCTGGATCCACCGCTGACTCATTACCGGGAGAACCAAAATACCGGTAGAATTGTTTTTTGTTTCAGTTACACATTGCGACATTTACCATTAAAACGAAGAACACCGGGTCACCCGAAACAAAGTGGCTGCAATCTGATTATTTTTGTTTCGAGGGAGGCTCTCCCAGGCGATGTGGTTCACGTCACAACCGGACAACTCGTAGGTACCGGCTGGGCTGCGGCCCCTGTCTAAATACATGCAGCGTATGTCCAGAGCCGACAAAAGTTACGGGACACCGACTGGCTTTCCCTGGCCACTGGCTTCAAGGTCAATTGTAGCATGACAACACCGAAAATGACCCTTATTTTGCAATATCATGCGACCTTCAATGTCAAAAGTTGGGTCAAAGGACTGAGAACTCGAAATCACCCAAAAATTGCCGGCCGATTTTCAACTTGCAAATGTCACAATATTCAACACAGAACAAAATAGTGTCCGTCCAAAAGTCCTGATCTCTCAAGGTCACCCTTCAAGGAAAAAAAACGAGCTCAAAGAACTGGGAGCTCTGTATCACCCAAAAATTACCGGCCGATTTCTAACTTACGAGCATCAGAACATTCATCACAGAAAGAACTAGCCTCCGTCAAAAAGTCCTGATCTCTAAGCCACCCCTCAAGGTCAAACGCAAGGTCAAAGGACGAGGAGCTCCATATCATCAATAATTTACTGGCCGATTTTTAGCTTACTAAGATCAAAACATTCATCATAGAAAGAGCTGGCGTCCGTCACAAAGTCATGGCGTCTCAAGGTCACCCTTAAAGGTCTGACGCGGCCTCAAAGCACATATAACTACTCCATATCACCCAGAAATTATCGGCTGATTTTAAACTTAAAAACATCAGAATTAAACACCAGAGAACGAGCTAGCGTCCATCAAAAGGTCCTGATGTCTGGAGGTCGCCTCTCAAGGTCAAACGCAGGTTCAAAGGACAGGGAATTCTGTATTCACCCAAAAATACCACAGGTTTTTTAACTTCTAAACTTCAGAATATTCATCACAAAAAGAGCTAGCGTCAGTCAAAAATTCCTACCACTCAAGGTCATCCTTCAAGGTCAAGCACGGGGCCAAACGACGGGGAAGACCATATTACTGAAAAAATTACCAGCCGATTTTTAACTTACAATAATCAAAACATTCAACACAGAAAGAGCTAGCGTCCGTCAACAAGTCCTGACCTCTGAACGTCACCCTTCAATCAGGCTGAAGTCAGTCAAGTCAGTCAGCCAGCCTACTCACCCTGGCCTCGGGCACCGAAGAGGCGGCGATGCCAATGACGTGGCTGGGCCGGCCGGCGCAGAGGACCATGAACACTGTCATCAGATCGTCACGCGCTTGGCGGGCCTCGGCCAGCAGTGGCGGGAACTCGCCGACCGGCGGGCACTCCGCCAGCGCGGTGACGTACTCGGACTGTCAGTCAAAAGACGGCTGATGAAATGCAAGACTGACACGATGTCACCCAGCCACGACCACGCCAGCACAATGCGCACCGAACAATGACAGCAGCTGGGCTAAAACGGGACACGGACGGTACTGACACATATATCACCAGACAAGCGCCATACATGATTATTACTCCCAACCGCATAGCGGCAGACAATCTCTTACGCTCAGGAAGCGCTGCTGGACTTACACGTCGACGAAGCGTGCCGGCCGGGCTTCGTGGTGCCGGCGCTGCTCCCAATCGTGACGTTTCATCGAGCGCTGCCATGCCGTCAGCCGCTTCTGCATGGCCTGTGAATTGCGTGTCATTAGCGAACGGTGACGATGACGTGACTGACTGCACAATCGACACATCACCTGTTGATGGCACTTACCGGCATGCGCGGCAGCCACGCCTGCAGACCAAGATCTTTCGCTGTCTATTGCGCAGTAGGTCATGAGCTGGGACAGGCAGCGGATCGAAGATTTTAGCGTGCCGGCTGTCATCTTGCGGGCTCGCTGTTGTGCTTGCAGCCAGCCGTCGGGCCCCTCCATGGCCAGCTGGGGGCCGGAGAGGGCCGCCATGATGTTCGGCATCACCATTTGGTCCGCACGGCGGCCTGGGAGCAGCTCTGGCAGCAGGAGATGGAGCTGCAAACGAGGCTGCATTACGCACCGCCGTGACACGACAGCTGGCCGCCAGCACAACTCTGAGCCCCGCTGCATGGGACGGATAAGGCGGACGAAGCTAACACAAGATGACACGCAAAACACGAGTGACAACAGATGGCAGCAAGCAGATGAAAAGCAGACCGGCATCGGTGGCACTTACCGCCCGCATGTGGCGCTGCACTTTTGTTGCGTCGCAGAAGCCACCACGGACCCCACGCAGGAACATCGCGAAGCGGTCCGAGATGGCCTCCAGTCCCACCAGGGGCTGTTCAGGCTTCACCAACACCATGGAGTCGATTTGTTCCGCACTGCCGTACGCTTGTTGGAACTGTGGACAGACGGATCACGATGCCACACCGAACACGTCGAAAAGGCGACAACACGCGGTGTTGAGATAGTGAAACGCACGTCCGAACGATGACAGAAACAATGGCGATGGTACGTACCTCCTGGCTGCCTGCAGGGAAGTGCACCCGCTGGTGTCGTGTCAGGTTGATGACCACCGCCGGGCACTGGTGCTGCCCGCCACTGGCGCCGAACGGGCGGACCAGCGTGGCCGGGTGCGCTTGGCCGCTGCTGGAGGGCAGTCGGCCTCGGCGGCTCGGAGACGCTTTGCCTCCTCCGGCGCGCGTGCGGCAAGCTGAAACACAAGTCGACAGCTTAAAAGACAAGGCAGACGGAACTGCTGTGGACATGCGCGACGCATCGACGGCAGATACACGCACAAGCGAGTGAAGGCAAACAACAACCGCACACAGCATGCAATCCGTCGCCTACCCGCGGGTGCACCATCCTGATGTGCCGCGTAAGGTTGGCTTACGTGGTGCCGCGGCACGGCGGTAGGCGGCACGGGTGCCTGTGACGCTTCCCAGCCCCGCTGCGTGCAAGCCGGCCCTGCCGCGGCTTGCACGCTGCAACACAGAATGATCAGTTTGCTACGGCCCAGATAAGCACACGGATACGCCAGCTGCGGCAGAAGCACATTTACATCCAGTCTGCCGCCACATACAGAGAGGAGAGCTGGACACGTACCGGGCCGGTCAACCTCTTCCGTGGCCTCTTTCTCCGCTGGCGCCGGTTATGTCGATGCCGACGAGAGGGACGAGGACGGCGCCCAGTCGGGGCCGGAGTCTGCCGCCGGTGGCGCCTGGCTGTCGGCCAGAGCTCCGTCTGTTGGCAGGATTAAGCGCTGAATAGTCACACGCAAAAACGGGAAATAAACATTGTGGACATAGAATGCGTCACATTGTAGGTAAATTATCAGAACAGACGACAACCGCAGTGCAATGAATGGAACGCTTCGTACTGGTGACACCTTTGCTAACAGTCTATCGCATACACAAAATACGAGATGCCTACATCAAAGAACATGCATACACAATGACAATAAAAACTGTATGTCAAGTTCTACGACAAAAGGCTAGAAAAATTACAAAATTACAAAAAAACATACCAGCCAACACTGAATGATCAGTTACTTCTATAGAGGAAAACAAAACAAATGTGCCATAAGTGTCGACCATTGCATGTTTTGGCAGGATAAAGGCTGACTAGTCACCTACAGATAGTGCCCGTCAAAAAACTATCACCTCTCAAGGTCATCCTTCAAGGTCAAGCGCGCGGCCAAACGACGGGGAAGTCCATATCACCCAAAGCTTACCGGCAGATTTCTAAATTACAATAATCAAAACATTCAACACAGAAAGAGCTAGCGTCCGCAAAAATATCCTGACCTCTCAATTTCACACTTCAAGATCAAAAGCGGGCTCAAAGGACGGAAAACTCCATATTACCCAACAATTACGGGCCCATTTTAGACTTAAAGAGAGCAAAATAATCCCCCGAGAAAGAGCTAGCGTCCGTCAAAAAGTTCTGACCTCTCAACGTCATCCTTTAATGCCACATGTGGGTTCAAAGGATGGGGAGCTCCATATCATCCCAAAATCACCGGCCAGTTTTAAACTTGCAGGCATTATGATTTTCATCACAGAAAGATGTAGCGTCCGTCAAAAAGTCCTGGCCTCTCAAGGTCATACTTCAATGCCAAACACGGGCTGATATCACCATGCAGGTTGACCTTAAAAAACATGATTTTGTCGAACGCTGGATCTCACCAATGTCACTGTTCTAACGCTTAACGAGACGAAATAAGATGGTAGCTTTAAGTGATCTTGAGTTCTCCGTCCTTTGAATCCGCGTTTTACTTTCAAGGGTGACCATGAAAGATCAGGATATTTTGACGGACGTTAGCTCATGCGCTTGTGAATACTCTGATGCTTATATTTTTGAAATCGGCTGGTACTTTAAGGGTGATTTATAGTTCCCGTCCATTCAGACCGCGTTTGACATTGAAGTATAACCTTGAGGCCAGGACTTTTTGGCGGACGCTACATCTTTCCGTGGTGAATATCATAATGCATGCAAGTTTTAAACTGGCCGGTGATTTTGTGATGATATGGAGCTCCCCATCCTTTCAGCCCACGTTTGGCCCTAAAGGATGACCTCGAGAGGTCAGGACTTTTTGGTAGATGCTACTTCTTTCTGTGGCGAATATCCTGATGTTTGAATGTTTAAAATCGGCTTCTAATTTTTGTGTGATATGGAGTTCCCCGTGCCTTTGTAGCCTCATTTTAACACGCGCCCGGGTGACAGCTTGGTTACCCTCGCTAGGACAGGGGTTAATCTACCCCCCTAAAATCTCAGAAAATAACAGTTAGGAACACCAAATTCACAGGGTGTGTTGACCTCTACATGAACTCACTTAGACCAAAGTTTGAGGTTCCTAAGTGACAGCCTTCGGGTCAAATAAGGTCAACGGCTACAATAACAGCAGCAATCTGCAAAAACATACGATGGATGATTTCAAAATTTCGCTGCACTTAGAAGTATGCAAAACGAATCGAGACTTAGTGTTGACCACCACCAGAGCCTTGCCTAGAGCGAGGCACGCCGCGCGAGAGCGAGCTGAAGAAACATGACTGGAGCTTGGGAGGCGCCACCACCTGCGGTCACATGACTTCCACAAACAAGTGTTTGGCTACAACACCGAAGAGTCCA